ACCTTGGCAGGAATGTGGACCTTGGGCACCTCGGCACTACGGTTCAAAGTCGGATTGATAAACTTGCTCCTGGTCTACGTGCAAAAATATTCTCCTAGCCTAAACTGTGCCAACTCTCTAATCCTCCCCCCACTTTGAGGCAGGTGTACTTCCATGTGCATGCAAGTTCCTCTTAATAAACCACGGTGGTTGTGAAATAGTTACTTCTCTTTTTGGTCGTCTCCCCACAGAGTTTTGCACCAGTTTTAATTCATCTGTATTCAACTTACACCTCAAATTTGGCCTGATGTGCACAAAACCATTGCACATCATTATTGTATTCCAGCTAACACGGCCGAAGAAGGCCGGCGTAGGAGCGGACAAAGCTTTGATGATTTCGACATGCGCAAGCTAGTTGGTTGGGTTCAACGAATGATTTACTTCAGTGTTTCGTGCGACCAGTTTATTGTGTGTTAAAAGCAGCAATAGGTCTAGTACAGCCAGGGCCTTTCTCGCCTGGTAGGACCTGTTAGCTAACATGTCTCAACAACGCAGTCTGAAATCCAAGGACTCGTCTACCTGTGGAGTTGTTTTCTTCCTGATTTAGTTGTCCCAGATGGGTATGTTTCTTCTTTCAGCATGAATTAATCTCAGTGGGAACAAAAGCCGCCTTCTTCTGGAACAAGGTTGTCCACATGTGAAGTCAAAGAAGCATGCCTTTAAACTGCATTAACTTTCCAGTGTAGACCAGCCCTGGCTCGAGACAACCCTTAAATGGGTTGGTTTTGTTTTTCAGCAATGCCAAGTGGAAACCACCTGGAAAGCACAGGGAAGTAAAAGTGTGCGGTGGCCAGTGTGCTGCTCCTCAGTGCTCAGACGGCCTGTGGTTTTTTTTCCCCCCCTACTTCTTCCCATTTCTGAGCCTGCTGCCTTGGCAGCCAGTGGCTTTAAAAAAAACCCCCCCAGTTCTCCCACCGTTTTTGCTTCAAATCAAAACCGGATGGAGAGTTGCATTTCCAAGACATCCGCCTTGCTTTTTCAGTCATTCACAGGAATTTAGCTGGAGGGTTTTGGGGTGCCCCTTGTTTAGGGACTACTGATATCTTAATCAAAGCTGCCTTGACTGTCAGGCTGGGAGAGGATAAAAGTTATACACCTAAATAAGCGGCCTCATTGTCAGCGATGCTGACAACCCTCCTCTCCCACCGGCTGTATAGTCAGGATCTGCATCTGGGTTGAGGAGCTTGACTTTGGGTCCTTTGCAGTTGAGATGCCCTGAATTTGACAGTCCTTTAATCTGAATTTCTTTGTCCCAAAGCAGGACAGGCTGTGGCTGGGTGAGCTGGCACGGGCAGGGCTTGCTTGGGGATCTTTGCGCGATGCTGCCTCTTGCCACGCGCACATCCCCAAGCTGAACCTTCACTGTAAAATATTCAAATCTGGTTAAAGCGCCTCGTGGCTTGAAATTATCGAAAGATAGGCGAGACAAAGAGAGATGTAAAGATTCAGCAAAGGGATTTGGTGCGTGTGTGTGTGGGGGGGGATTGAGCTGCTCAAAGAATCAGCAAATTATATTTGCCCTCCTAAAAGAGAGCATGAAAATGTAATCAGTACAAGCCAGCGTTTTTTCTCATCGTTTCCATAATGGCTGCCCTTGAGTATTTGCAAAGCCCGTTCAGCCGGATGCTCTCACTGGCTCTTCCCTAGTTTAGAGATCTGCAGACTCAGGTCTTAAATCCCAAATAAATTACAGGTGTCACCTCATTAGCAGCAGCATTGTGGGTCTGAGGTTTTCTTGTTTTTTTTAAATCTCAGATTGACGGTTAGCTTCATGCCAGCTTCTGAGCTCAGCTCGGACTAATGCATCCGCTCAAATCTCGGCCTGGGTTCGATTGCAGTCTGACTGGCAGAGCACGGGGTCAGGTCGTCATGGGGGATGTCGCGTCTGTCTTATTGGCAGTGTTGGAGGGACTCTGCAGCACCGCACTCCTCCCAAAGTGACAGCGAGTCATTCACACCCTTCTGAAAATATTGGGCCCTGCTTTAATTATGGTGGGATAGTTAATGTAGTTTACTCCTCTTCCCTGGCCTGGATATGGTTCTGCTGGCGGAAAGCTGCTTTATCCACGTAGCTGATCACCTGGGGAAGGAGAATAAGCCCTGCTCACATGGGGTGCTTTTGCACCAGGTTGATTGCATCTGCACTGGGGACTGTGCAAGCCTTTTAGGCTACGTCTTGACTGCAAGGAGAGATGTGTGCTTAGATGGAAAGTGTGTGACACCTCCGCGGAGCTGACGTTCAGGTAACGTCTGAGTGAAGGCAGCCGAGGTCAGCCCTTTCTTCCTGTCTGGGCCTTACTTCTGTACATCCCGCCGCAGGATCAAAGGTTCGTGCCTATGCTGCTCCGGCACGTAGCAATTACCCTGCGCTAGAGTTTGTAATTAGCCAGGGTTATATCACTTCAGCGGTCCCCGTGGGCAATGGGCTGTGAATAGGGACAAGAATGGTCCGGCGCCATAAAATCCTTCCAGAGGGAAAACAGGATTGAAAATAGCTACTGCTAAACCTGATTTTGAAGACCCTCTTCCATCCGAGGTGTCTTTATCATGTTTGCGGAGCGTCTGCTGACGATCTAACCGCGTGATGTACCGAGGAAAGGGTCTGGATCCCATTACGGAGCCACCTGCCATCACAAAAACGCATGCGCCGAAACCACTGGCAGGGGTGTGGCGCGGTGTGGTGGTCGTGCTGGTGAGACGTTCCCCTGGGAAGTTCAGGCCGTTAGTGCAGTCTCTGTATAATTGAAAAAGAACAATGACAAAGCACCAGGAGGAAATGCCATCAGCAATTAGATCATCCTTCCTTTCCTGCGCTAACTCGGGTGCCTTTATTGATAAAGTTCAAAGGCCCTTTTTAAGCAAACAGCGCCGGTCAGGACTCCTAGCGCAAACTGAATGAATGCAAACGAGGTTACTCCTTTTGAAAGCGGACTTCGTGGCTTTTCCTGCCAAGCGGAGATCCTCCGAAGCGCCACTTCGAAGCTTGGGGGGATGAAGGGTCTGGCTCCTACGTTCAGGGGGGCAGAGGCGAGGTTGGCCTAAATGCACACAGGGCTTTTACTGCCACTGAAATGCTCTCGCAAGCTGAGAGAGGTGATCTGAGCAGTCCCCGTTGCTGTGTGACCTGCTCCGCCAGCCCTTGTGATCGATGTTCGTAGGCATAGACATTAGGGGCTGGAAGGGACCTCGCGAGACTGAGTCCAGCCCCAATAGATGGAGAAACTCGTGTTGACTTCAGTGGATGAGCTGGACCAAACTTTGCCTGCACCGGCCATTTTGCTAGGAAGAGAAAGTTCACCAAATCGTTAGTATGCGGCAGGTGCTCTTGTCTGGAAGGATGTTCAACCCCATTGGAAAACCCACTGCATTTTTACTTATTTTTTGCAAGCAGGTGAGCCTAAGCACATAGTTTCTTCCACTGCCAGCAAAGACGGAGCATGGGTTTCTCTCTCTTTCCTCCCCCCCTTATCTAAGGTTATATTGGTGCATTGCCTCTCCCCTTGTAGAAAAGGGATTTAGTGTTTAAACATTTCTCCTTGCAGTAATTCAAGCCGAGTGGGGCTTTGTGGCAAAGCCAGTTGTCATGGCAATTCTTTGCTTCGACAGTGTAAACAGCCAGACTAAAAGGAGCCTTGTCTCCGATAGGTGAACTATTACACGCTCTCTTCAACTAATAGCTGACTTGAACTGCGTATAAGTAACGATGCCTTCCTTGTCCCTGGCTGAGAGCCTCGGATCTCGTAGGTCGCTGTTTAACAGATGCGTATTTTTTGCAAAGATTTTGTACCGCCCTTAGGGAAGAGTCTTGCAGGCAAGAAACCAAGTGAGGGCTCTCCAGAGATTTGCTTGGGTTCGGTCCAAATTGCTGCGGGCTCTGATGACCCCAAATGGCTACTTGAAGCCCCCATTTTTTTTAAGTCTGAGTTCCTATCTAAAACACTCTCCTGATTTTCAAAACTGGCTGGCTTAGCTCATTTTGGAAAAGTGGGCTGCTGCTTTTTTACCTCCCTTTTTGGTGCCCAAACTGAGTTTATTTTTTCCCGTGGGGAACCTAAGGCACTGGCTCTTTAATGGCCAAGCATTTAAAGTTCCTTTGAAACTCCTGGCCTTGTTCTGAAAATCTCTTTTTCTTACAGGATTTTTAGAAACTCTTCTGTAATGTTCTCTAGCAGGACTGCGATGTGCTGTTCAATTCCATCGGGCAGTCCAAAAATACCAACCTCCTGGAAAAGTGATCATTTTGCAGCACGTTGAAAGCTTTCCCCCCCTAAAACCTACTCTCCAGAGGTTCTGGGACACTGGTTAATAAGTAGTTTCATTTATCTGTACTTCTTTGCTTTTTTAATTAGTTTTGTGGTCTTTATCAGTGCCTGTCGTGTGCTCTTGGTGCCAGTATGTGCTTTTATAACTTCATAGTAAAGTTTGCTTATCCTGAGAATAGAGACATTTCCATCAGCAGGCTTAATGAAAAAATAACACCACCCCAACCCACACCGCCAGCAAGTGTAATACCAGTAATTTCTTTGGCCCTCGGCCCTGCGTTGCCGTCTTCTGCTCTTTAGGCAACAAATGAAGTCTAGAGAAATACACGGGCCGGGTGTAAAACAAATAGCCATGTTAACTGAATGTACGAGCCCTTGCTCAGAGGGGCGAACGGGGAACCGGTTTGGTCTTTCCCAGTCCCGCTGAATTTTGAGGCATCGGCATTATTTTCCCAGCCTGATTTTATTTTTTTGGAACAACAAGTGATTCTGGAAAATCCTTGCAAGCCAAAATGTAAAACCTTCCTTGTTAGGGCAATCGAAATGTCTTATTTTGCTTGCAGCCCGTTTCTAGCGATTGTTTACAACCTGTTTTTGCTCAAACTGAAAATGAGAAACAAACCAAAAATGTATTACCTTCTCGTTTTGAAAGCCTCGACGTCCTGACCATCGAAAAATTCGCTTGTATTTTTTTTCCAGAACAGGAATTTGAAGAAGACGACCCTGTCCTGCCAAGAGCGTTTGGGTTCAAAGAATTGGCGTTTTCCAGTGAGTAGCACCTTTCAGAAACGTTCCCGACCCCTCGCCGAGGTGATCACGTGCGCTGCTGCGCTGGTCGGGTTTGGAAACCGAGCATGGTGAGTACCGCTGTCAACGGGTCAAAAGTCTTCCCGGGCTTAGCAGTCCTTTGGGCTGTTGTGGTTAAGACACGCTAGCTATTGTCACCAGTGTTAGGCAAAGATCGGTGATATGGTTAGCATCACATCTGCCCGTCTTTGTGCCCCTGGGCTGAAGGCCCAGCTACAGCTGGGCTGATGAGTCCAGATTAGGGTTTGAACTGGCACCTGTGGATCTGTAAGGAGGTAGCTTAACCTGCCTTGCCCAGGGACCACTATAGGGCTCACTGACTCTTTAAAGGGATGCTAACCTAGTTGTATGGACTAGTTGTGGACCCTCCTTCATATCCAAAGCGGCTTCTTGATATAGTTGGAGCATTTTTACTGGTTGCGGAGAGAGCGGTGACCTCTCAGCTTCTCAAGCGCTGAGCTGCGTGGGTGGCAACTCCGTGCGTTAGAGAGAAGGGCGTTTTGCTTTTGCCAGACGGACGGGAGTGGTTGGGGCCTGCATCTGGGGGAGAAACAAAAAGATCTGCTGTTGTGTGCTCAGTGTGTGCCAGCAGCTGCCATGAGTGTTTGCAAACTGAGTGGCTGCATCTGCCAGAGATCAGCCACATAGTTATTTGCATGAGTTTTCAGTCTAACCCATCCCCCTTGCTTGCACAGCCCCTGCACTGATGGCTCCAAATGAGATATGGTGTTGGGAGGGTACTCAAAGCAGGTATGCATTGTGCTCATCATGCTCAGTGTTCATCTCAACCAGCACTCGCACGGGTAGGCAGAGGGTGACAGGCCCATTTCACAGCTGAGCAACTGAGGCATGGGTAGGCGAGGAGATGCAGCTGAATGGAGCCAAGAGAAAGTTCATGTGCTCCTGGTTCCCAGCTCTGTAGTCGAGCTGTGCCATTAGTGGAGGCATCCAGGAAGGTTCATTTTGCTGAGAGTATCAGGAATGGGCAACTTGAATAGGAACAACAGAGTTCAGGGTGTGGGGAGAGGATAAAATAGATGCGTCCTGCAACGAGCTGAGAGGGTGGGGTCCTTGTAAGGAAAA